TTCTATACTTAAAACTGACTTATTCAACAATTCCTCCCTTAAACTGCATGCTCCTTGCAACAGTTTATCTCAGACTCGTCAAGCATTCCTAGAGCACTTAACAAATGTTGGAATTCTTCAACTTTAAGTGGCTTCGTCATGATGTCTGCTAACTGATCTCTTGTACTGCAATAATTCAACTCAATAACACCGTCATTACATAAATTTCTCAAAAAATGAAATCGAACATCAATATGTTTACTTCTTCCATGCAAAACTGGATTTTTGGATAATTTAATTGTTGAGATATTATCACAAAAAACCACAGTAGCTTCTTCTTGACAATGACTTAGATGTTTCAAAATTCTTCTCAGCCAAACACATTGGCAAGCACATAATGCGGCTGCTATAAACTCTGCTTCTGTTGTGGATAAGCTAACAACCGGCTGTTTCTTTGACACCCAAGAAATCACACCACCTCCTAGCAAGAAGGCATAACCCGAAGTGATCTTCCTATCATCAAGGTCTCCTGCATAATCACTGTCAGTATAGGCAATTAACTCTTTATTTCCTCCAGCCTTATAGAAAATTCCTAGATTTTTGGTGCCTTGTAGATATCTTAAAATTCGCTTTGCTGCCATGAAATGACTCTCCTTTGGCTCTTCCATGAAACGACTTATCAAACTGACAGAATATGCAATATCTGGTCTTGTAGCTGTAAGGTACATAAGACTTCCCACAAGTTGTTTAAATAGAGTCGTATCGACCTTCACTCCCTTGTCTTCTTTTAATAACTTGCAGCCTGGAACTATAGGACTCTTCACGGGATTACAATCAGACATGTTAAATTTGTTTAATATATCCTTAATATATTTCTTTTGCCCAACAAAGATACCATTGCAACCTTGCAAAACTTCAATGCCCAAAAAATATCTCATCTTGCCTAAGTCAGTCATTGCAAATTCTTTCATCATCATAGTTTTGAACTCTTGAAACATCGACGTATCATTACCAGTATATATAAGATCATCTACATAAACACACACAATTAAAATTTCACCTTTCTCTTTCTTCTTCATAAATAAAGTGTGTTCATGTGGACATTTCACAAAATCATTTGCTGCAAGATGAGATTCCAGCTTGCTGTACCAGGCTCTAGGAGCCTGCTTAAGGCCATACAATGCCTTCTTAAGCTTGTATACTTTATGCTCACATCCTTGAAATACATAACCTGGCGGCTGCTCTAGGTAGACGTTTTCGTTGATTGCTCCATGTAAGAAAGCTGATTTAATATCAAGTTGATGAATACCCCACCTTTTTGTAGCTGCCAATGCAACAACAGTCCTGATGGTTTCAAGACGAGCAACCGGCGCAAAGATCTCACTATAATCTATGCCTTCCTCTTGAGTGTAACCTTTTTCCACAAGTCTAGCCTTGAATTTGTCAATCTCCCCTGTCTCCTTCAGCTTAGTTTTGAAAATCCACTTGACTCCTACAACTTTGCAATTTGGTGGTGGATCAATTAGCTCCCATGTATCATTCCTTTGAATTGCTTGAATTTCAGCATCCATTGCATCCCTCCAATGTTGAATTTTTGATGCTTGTTTATATGTAACTAGATCTGAACCTGCAAACATGGCAAAATTCATTGCATCTTCCTCAGTTAAATCATCACCAGTGACATAATCTTTCATCCATATTGGTGGTCTTCTAGTCCTCCCTTCAGGTGAATTTTCTGAAGCTCTTGAAATGGTGGAATCCAACATATTTGAGGGTGAGTTTGGAGCTGCATCACTTGTAGTTGTTGCTGTATCATTAGATTTTTTTGGATTATCTCATCATCTTCTTGACTAGATTCTTCCAAAGGATTCAACTCATTTGTATCAATTGTTATGCCTGTTTTTGCGTCACCCCAATCCCAGGCAGCACCCTCCTGAAATTTAACATCTCTGCTGATCCAAATTTTCTTCTTGATTGGATCATAAAGTTTGTAGGCCTTAGACTCCTCACTTACACCCAACAACACACATTTGATACTTTTATCATCAAGTTTGCTTCTTTTCTGATCAGGTACATGAACATATCCAATGCTACCAAAGATTCTAAAATATGACACAGATGGCTTAATTCCGCTCCATGCTTCCTCTGGTGTGACGTTCTTGACAGCAAGAGTTGGGCTTCTGTTTAAAATATGAATCACCCATTTTACAGCTTCCGGCCAAAATGATCTGGGGACTCCTGTTTCCACTAAAACGCTGCGAACCATATTTATAATAGTTTGATTTTTTCTCTCAGCTACGCCATTTTGTTGTGGCGTGTATGAAGCAGTGAGTTGCCTTTCAATACCATGTTTACTGCAAAATTCAGCAAACTCCTTAGAAAGATACTCTCCCCCTCTATCGGTACGCAAAATTTGAATGGGAGCACCAACTTGTTTTTCAACTAGTGCTTTAAACTCTTTAAATACACCAAAAGTTTCACCTTTCTCCATAAGAAAATATACCCATGCTTTCCTACTTAAGTCATCAATGAAAGTGAGTATGTACCTTTTATTTCCATTGGATGTTGGATTGATAGGGCCACAAATATCAGAGTGAATTAACTGCAGCAACTGAGATGCTCGCCAATTACTTTGTCGTGGAAAAGGATCTCGTTGATGTTTCCCTTTGAGGCAATGTTCACAAAGTTGAGATGTTGGTTTGAAGGAAGGCAGCCCTTTCACCATATCGTGCTCCATTAAGGTTTTTAGTCCACTGTAGCTCAAGTGACCATAACGAGAGTGCCATACTCGAGCTGGTGGCGTAGAGCTGGCCTGAAAACAGGATTGGGAGACTCCGGATTTTACACTAATAGCAAACATACGATTAGTAGTCATGAAGGTTTCAAAAATAAGGCCATTTTCTTTAAACACTCTGCACTTGTTTTGCTTCATTTCAACCGTTAACCCTCTTTCCAGAAGTTGCCCCACGCTAAATAAATTATTTTTTAGCTCAGGCACATAAAATACATCATTTAAAAAATGCACGACTCCGTTTATCAAAAGTTTAACCATACCTTTTCCACCGACCTTTAGAGCATAGTTATTCCCTAATTTCACTTCATCTGAAAAACTTTCATCAATGGAGGAAAACCAATCCTTTCTTCCTGTCATGTGGTTGCTACATCCTGAATCGATGAACCACATGTCCTGTGTATTTGATTTTCCATCTGATGAAAGTTGTGCCATGAGTAACACTGCTTCCTCATTGGTCTCAGCATAATTTGCAATGCTGTCCTGTGGTTTCTTTGGGCATTCATACTGAAAATGTCCAAACTCATGACAGTAATAACATTCCACTGCTGCCTTATCTACTCGTTGTCTACCTCCTCTGCCTCTTCCTCGAGCAAATCCACTCCGAAAGCCACCTCTTCCACGGCCACGACCACTATTTGTCTCATCTTGAGTTACTTTCAACACTTGCTCTTCATGTGAATTATGTCCATTCATTCGTTGTTCGTGTACCAACATACTGCTTTGGAGTTCATCTACAGTCATGGAATCCAAAACATGAGATTCTTCGATAGAACACACTACATAATCATACCTCGAGGTCATTGAGCGAAGAATCTTTTCGACAACGGTAAGATCTAACATTTGTTCACCGTACATTCGCATCTTATTTGCAATAGTGAGAGTTCGAGCAAAATAGTCATTAACTGATTATCCATTCTTCATCTGTAAAATCTCCCATTCGCGTCGTAGGGCTTGAAGTTGTGCTCGCTTCACTCTAGCAGTGCCTTGGTATTTCTGTTTTAAGGAATCCCATATCTCTTTCGATGTCTCCTTCTTTAAAATTGTTTCAAGCACAGATCGATCAATTGCTTGAAAGAGGTAATTCCTTACCTTCAAATCTTTTAGTTTAAGCTCGTTCACTGTTTTCTTCTCGTTCTCCGTTAATACAGCACCATCAGCATGTTGAGGAATCCCTGGATCAATAAGATTCCAATACTCCTTTGACCTTAAAAAGTTCTCCATCAGCATTACCCAATGATCATAATGCTCGCTCAATTTTGGAATCGCAGGTTGCACGAAGTTGCCATCCGTGGTTGCTGCCATGATTGAAGTCTGTTGCTTCTCTTTTCTTGCTACAAACCTAGCTCTGATGCCAGATGTTAACACAGAAAAAACAGTTCTGTTCTGCGTTTTCTATTAGAAACTGAAAATGTCAAGTTTTAGACTTAGCAATACAACTGACTGCCTAGAAATTAGGAAACTCACTCACACACTAACAGCACATCCTAAATGTGTGCAAGATAATAGGAATTAAATATGAAACTGACTCACACACTAACGGCACATCCTAAATATGTGCAAGATAATAGGAATTAAATGTAACTAACAATTAATTAAAAACAAATAATAGAAATAATTCTATACTTAAAACTGACTTATTCAACAAGTTTATTATTCCCACGCAAGAATATTTAACGTCTACCATATAACTCTGCTAAAACTGACCTCGGGCCTCAAGATAGGAAATTCCGTAAATGGTTTGATCTATCCACGATCAAGTATGTCACCTAGTATGAAATTGAAGATTCAATACCAGGAGGCTATTGGCTTCACGAGTTGCCTCAACACAAATATCGATGTTCTGATCCGATCGTAAGCACTAGGGTCATCGTCGAAGTCAAAAAAATGCAGAGCCTCATCTTACGACTCCGCCGATGCTGAGGCGACTGACGACTATCTCAGTACGCATCATCAGCATCCTCAGACACTCTCAATCTCGTCGTTTGCAAAACCAGAGTCGGTATCTTCCTCTTTGATGACAAACTCCCTGGTATGGTTGTAGAAATGGGATTCACTCCTTCACAAGTCCTCGCCGTCGAAGTGATCCTGGACGGTCCTAGAATGATTGTTAGAGGAATTGCAGCGTCGGCGTCAAAATTCAGATAAGTTTCTCACTACATATATCTTGGTTGATTATAGACTACCATGTTTAATTTACTTCCCCAAGATCTGTCCAGGTTTGCACCCCATGTGTTTGACGAAAAGCATGAATAATGTTGCGCATACAGCGTTCCATCCAGATCACAGTGGAATTGCAGGGCGTGATGTCAAGGGGTTAAACAGTCTTAACTACTTCACTGGTCGATTAACATTAGTGCGTAAGTTACAACGGTCGAAAAACAGAGAGATACAACACCATTCAAAGCGCCGCGGCAAGATGGAGGGTAAGGAATTTATAATGACAGCTCTCACAAATATGCGGGGCTGGTGTGATTGTGCCGCAGTGGAAGCCGAATAATTTCGATGGATATATTGGTTGGTTCCCGGTAGCGAACCTGCCAAGCCGTTACAAAATTCATACATTCAACCGTTATAAAACTGCCATCAAAAGATAAGTATAATTACTTTATTCGTTATTGTTATGGGTTAATGTGAGGACACAATGATATTGTCAAGGTGATTTTGGGATATACGTAAGGTTATTATTGAAGAGCGCAAGGCCGCCTATAGCTATCATTATACTAAGTTATTCGGCTATGTTAGAAGCAGTTGTTAAAGGACTAGCAATCGAGGACATCATCAGTGAAGCCGTTCTAGACTTGCGGTTGATGCGACGAGTACTGCAGGGGCTGGATTTTACAATGCATGATGCACTGGTCATGATTTTAGCAGTACCACAATTAATGGGGTATGCAGGGAAAAAAAGTATCTTCATAAAACCAATATAATTTCAGGTTTAATGAGATTTGCAATGAAGATGGTGAAATCCGCATTGGAAGTTCTTTACGAAGGGGGACTGTGTTTACCGTGGTTATTGGTAAACAACCGCTGATCCTCCAAATGATTACTTATTTGATTACTCGCAGGATTGATCAGATTGATCCTAGGACATATGTTGATTTTGAGGTTTTGATTAAATTGGATATTGGTTAAAAGGCAATAAAATAAAGAGGCTTTAAGTAAATTGCATGAAGAAGTAGGCTTGGTAAAATAAATGAAGGCTTAAAGTAAAGGACTTCGACAGGAAAGTAAAGAAGAAAGCAAGTAAATTTTTGGAAAAGTAAATGACTTTGATTAATAAAGTTGGTGTTTCACACATACATTTCTCAACAATTCTTTCTCACACGCTGGGTACTCGAATCTATATGAGTGACTTTGTATATAATTGTGAACACACGCGAGAAACTGCGTGAACTACTACTATTTATACTAAAACATCCCAAGTAACCGTCGGGCAGTTACACTGCTTCGAGATGATTCCACTTGACACGTTTTCAACGTTCGACGCCCCAGATCTTTGCACGTTGCACTTGGTAACCGCTGGAAACCGTTTTCCCTCCAAACGCTTGAATTTCAAACCGTTCCACTCTGAACCATCGAACACCTTCGTCGAGAAGAATCTTCGACGAGAAACAACTTCGACGTCGAAGGCAGCCAACTTCTCTCTTGGAAGAAATCTTCTAAGTACATTGCCATCTTTCGATGGGCATTTCGACAGACTCAGCTGATCGAAAACAACCTTCAGCTTTAATGGCTGACATTAATGAAATAAGGGTGTCGAATTTAAGAGCCAACAAATTGCCCCCCAAGAATGCCTTATTTCGACTCTGAAAGAAAAATGCATTCTTTGAAATACCATTCGACACCTGTCTTTTCATTCTTAGTTACAAATTAAATTGTACACTTTTTGTTGTCTTCTACCAACCACTGACAATCCCAAGAAAAACCATCATTTATCCGTACCTAAGACGTCACCTCAGTACGGCGTGCAGTGTGCCAAACGTCATTTCACAAATTGCCATTATGACAATTCCAAAAACCGAGGGCGCACGCTGCACCCCTCCATTTCTGCAGAACGGCTAAAACAACAGGGAGACGCCACGTGTCCCACTACCTTCTGCAACATTAAATGGCATTTAATGTCCTCGATTTTGGGGATTTTCCCCCACTACTATAAATAGCAGTAAGTACCCATTGTGGGACTTTTTACGCTATCTAGCTTTCAGACTTCTCCATTTGCATACAAACTTGTCAACTTTGCAAACCTCTTTTCTTCACTTCGTCTTCATCCTCACCACTAACAATGGCATCTGGTTCTTCCAATGCTCCTAGCGCCACCGTACCATCTGGAAACGTCAAACCTAGGGTTTTCTCGACCGCTCCAGTAGTAACTCCCACGGGCCAACGAAGGGTCCCTGAACCTTTGGACATCGCTGTTCGTGATGCTTACTCACGCCACCTTATGATTCCGGTTGGATATTCCAACCAGATCTTTGCTATGTCTGGCCCATTGTACCCAAGTATTTCTGAGGCCATGAAGATCAAGAGTTATTTTCCGGTAGTTGAGAGACTCAAACCGGTTGCATGCGCCAAGAAAGATGCAGAGGATAATGAAGACCCTGCTAAAGAGAAAATCGACCTCCGTTTCTTCAACAAAGGTGTTAGAGCTTTCAGGTCTGGCCCCAGCCTTACTCCTGATTATAGTGCTTGGCTGGAAAAAATGGAGAAACGCCAAGCTTCGATCTGGAAAGATATGGGGATTTTCGACCTGGTTATGCTGTCGAAGACAGGTCTTAACTATTCCCCAGAGATGTTGATAGCTTCTCTACTCTTCTGGGACTACTCCCACTTCACCTTCCATCTTCCCTGTGGAACGCTGACTCCCACACTCTTCGATGTGGCCGCCATCACTGGCCTTCGACCTACTGGGGACTACTTCGACCCGGAAGAAATGTCGGAGGATCAAATTGGATTTTCTGCCACAAAACCAACCTACACCACCTTCATCAATCACTACCACGACAAGTCGACAGATGCTGTGTCGGATGTCGAACACATTGCGTTTCTAGCCTTATGGCTGACACGCTTTGTGTTTTGCTCCAAGTCCTTACAGGTGACCAAGAAGATGGTCACTCTCGCCACTCAACTCCATCATGGCCAAAATATCTGTTTGGCAGAATTGATTTTGGCTAGCCTGTATGAGTCGATTAGTAATGGAGCGACTCTTCTGAAGATTATCGAGAACAGGGGCAGTCTGCTGCTTGCTGGACCTTTTTGGCTGCTCCAACTGTGGCTCAACGCCACCTTCGAATCTTTCTTGCCTAAGAAGATTCAGATAAATGAGCAGGCTCCAGAGATAGCAAACAGACGTGTCGAAGGAACCAGACTGGCTCTGTTGACTCCAATGGAAGATGGACTGGAGCTTCAGCAAACTTTCACAAACTTCGTTCTGATGTTTGCTAGAAGGAAAGAGTTTGCTTCGACTATGGCTTCGTTTGCTCGACGGAAGGTAGGCCCAACGTGGTTCACAAGGCCACATCCTAGGACGTCGAGTGATCCTCAGGTTGACGAACATACAACAATGTGGGAGGCGTTCCTCACACCAAGAATCATGCCTCTTCGATTCAGGAGCTCTAAGACTCACTTGAGTCTGATTGCATATCAACCAAACCTGGTGTCTCGCCAGTTTGGTATTATTCAAACACTACCTTCTCCAATTTTTCCAAGGGAGAAGTCTATGTTATACTTCTGCAACGACTACACCGAAGAAGCTGCCACTAAACATATCGGAAGATATGCTGGTCGAACAGTTCTTTCGTTGTTTGACTACCAGCTTAACTTTCTTTGCTCACCATCCTTCGAGGAGTGGTGGAAAAGTTATTACGCTGAGGAGTTTTTCGACGAGAAGGACTTTGTGGATGAGCTTCAGAAATCTTTTGTCCTTGTCTTGGACAAAATAAAGAAATGTAAGTTCATCCTTTCAAATTACTTTGTCTTTCTCTTTCGACTGCTAGCCTGTTAATTATTTTATCTGCTTTCAGTTGTTCGAAAGCCTGCAGCCAAGAAGGTTGCAGAAGGCCAACAGGGAGGAGGTTCCTCAACAAAACCTCCACCGCCGGCGAAGACTATAGCGCCGGCGAAGACCACAACAAACCAACAGGGGGAAGGCCCTTCGAAAAAGCCTTCTGTATCGGTAACCAGACTTTCATTATTTTCTTCTGGCTTTGACTTTTGACTTTCGATGTAACTGCTAAATCGAATTCCCATTGGTTTTTTAGGCACCTTCGCCCAAGAAACGGCCAGCACTGATGGTCGAATCTGGGAGCGACGAAGAAGATGATTCTCCCCCTGATCCTCTAAAAAGGCGAAAGCTGACGAAGGACGTTCCTGCTCCTGAGGGTCGAACAATTAGAATAAAGGTTGCTGGGAGAAAGCCCAGGCCACCTCCAGTGATCATTGAGGAGCCAACGGAGGAGGAATTAAACGTTCTTCTCAATAAGCCAGTCGAAAGCGACAATTCCAGCCCTGGGGCTGAAGCTAATTTACAGGTAATCTCTTAGACCTCTTTGTAACTCAGGTGTAGATACCTACATTCGACTATGTCTCTTTCGAATTTTGAAGATTCTTCTTCTTTTTCAGGACACCACTGAAAGCTCACCGCCAAGGACTTCTGAAACATTGGAGTCTGCTGAACTCAGCAGGCCACAAGAAAAAGGCTTGGAGAATGACGAAGCCCATACTGAAATAAATGAGGCCAATGCTGAAACGGCAGAAAAACCAGCAGAAGATCCTCAAACAGAAGAGCAACAGCCAAAAGAGATTCAGGTGGTGGATCTGTCGGAAGAGAATCGTGACGAAGGGGACCACGGCAACGCTGGCGAAGAGGATCAAGGTGCCGCTGGCGAAGAAAACCAAGGTGACGCTGGCGAAGGGCACCATGATGACGCTGGCGAAGGGCACCATGATGACGCTGGTACTGTCGCAGTCCGAGTCGAAGGGAATCAAGTCGAGGCAACTGTCACTCAACAGCCTCAAACCCAAGACAATGCTGTTGCAAGGGCTGTTACCTCAATAAAGCACAGGTCGAAAGAGGACTTAGAACTCTTGAAGCAAACTGATCCTGTTAGTTATATGAACGCCATCATCGAGAGCAAGAGTTCGTCTGACACTAGCCAGGAGGTTCCTACCCTGTCGGGGAAGTCCACTGAAACTTCTCCTCTCGATGAGGCTTTGACGAAGGTTAAGGCTCAGTTTTTCAAGAAGGACTTGATGAAAGCTTTGGAGGGGGACCCTACTGCTCCATCATATTTGGGGGCTGTTTTGAATGCCGTAGACTTGTTAGCTGTGCCTCCAGAAGTCTCAGGCTTTATCATGGAGTTACACTCCATTATTGATCAAGTCTCAGCAGATTATCGGCGACAAAGGGGCTTCAATAGCCAGCTTGAAGTGTTATATGGCAAAAGCTCTTCTGCATGGACTGCTGTTTCGGAGACAACTTCTCGAATTGCGGAGTTGTCG